TGTTTGCTAGAAGATTGAGTTATCAGCTTTCGACTGTTTGAATTCCCAACCTAGCAAAGTCATCTCAAGGTATTATGCCAAGCTCTGGGAGCTTGTTTCAAGCCATATAAGGCTTTGTTGAGCTTGCACACGTGTGAAGGTTTGTCTTGATCCACAAATCCATGTGGCTGCTCTAGGTAGACGGTTTCCTCAAGCTTTCCATTAAGAAAAGCATTATTGATATCTATTTGTCTAATCACCCAGCCTCTTGAGACAGCAAATGTGAGGATTATTTTCAAGGTTAGAGCCTTAACCACTGGACTAAACGTCTCATAATAATCGATCCCTAGAGTTTGTGAGAAGCCCTTTGCAACCAATCTCACCTTATGCCTTATTACTTTTCCCTCTGAATCAGTTTTGTTCTTGAACACCTACTTGCTACCAATGATTTTCATACCAACTTCAATAGGTACCAATGTCCAGGTTTGATTCTTCATTAGAGCATTATACTCTTCGCTCATTGCTTTCCTCCAAATTTCATCTCCTAGAGCTTCAATGACATTAGCTGGTTCTGTTTCTTCTAATGAATTTGAGATGCCTGCAGCATAGACTTTTGGCTTGAAGATCCCATATTTTGCTCTAGTAACCATGTGATGTCCACTGTCTTTTACAGTATCAACAATATCTGCCTCATCGGGTTCATTCACTTCCTGACTTCTATTATCATTTTCATAGGCAGCTTCTGGCAGAAAATCATTTTACACATCTTCTTGTGTCAATTGTCTGTTCAACTCAATATCATTATCCACACTTCTTAGCTCTTCACTGTCTACAGTTTCAGAGGGAGTCTCTGGTGCAGGGGTAGCCAAAGGATGTACCATACCAGTTGAGGAATTTTTTAGATATTGGAATGTTAAGTCAAAAGGTAATTGATGTAGAGTTATAGGTTGAACCTTGGGTGATATAGTTTTGTCTAGAAAACATTTTTCAAATGGAAACTGATTCTCGTCAAACACATGTTTGGATATATATATTTTGCCAAGGGGGTTCAAGCATTTGTATCCTTTATGAGATGCACTAGGTCCGAGGTAAACACATTTTTGAGTGTGGAAATAAAACTTGTACTATTGGTAAGGTCTTAGACACGGGTAACAGGTACATCCAAACACTTTAAGGGTTTGGTAATCAATTTGCTGTTTAAATAGGAGTTCAAATGTTGTTTTGTGTTTAAGAATTGGTGTAGGCATCCTTTGATGAGATAGGTGGCTGTAAGGAAGGCCTCCCACCAATAAAACAATGGAATGTGTGCTTGCACTAGTGGTGTTAGTCCTATTTCAGTGATATGCATGTGTTTCCTCTCAGCACGGCCATTTTGTGGGGATGTATAAGGACAAGAAAGTTTTAACTCAATACCACAATCTGAGGCAAAACTATTTAATACTCTGTACCTCCCCTCCCCGGGAATGAGATTGTATAGCCTTTATTTTCCTATCAAACTGGTTCTCAACAAGTTTTTTAAAGGTTATAAAGGACTGCAGAACATCTGATTTGTGTTTGAAAGGATGGATCCAAGTGTACCTAGTGCAATCATCAATAAAGGATGCATGAAACATGTACTCTGATGTAGAGTTAATAGGTGAGGGTCCCCAAACATCGATATGGATTAGATCAAGAGATTTGAGAGCATGTTTTGATGATAAGTTGAATGGTAAAGCATGTGATTTACCGTATTGACAAGATTCACAAAATGGAAGTTCTTTGCTAATAAGCTTGGAATTATTACAAGACTTAAACACTAGACTTATTACAGAAATATTAGGATGTCCTAATCTTCTGTGCCACTTTTCAACTTGTGACTAGACTCTTACAGACTTGGGCAATTGGTTTACACGGGAGTTGAGACTGAATTTCAGGTTGCTGGCTGTTTGATAGATGTCTGGTTTTGTGTCTGCTGATTTGTTATTTGGATTCTATTGGTATAGTCCATTACTTAGCCTCCATTGCATTAGAGTTTTCCTTGAGTGCAGGTCCTTCACAGCACAAGAATTAGGGAAAAATTCAACAGAAACTTTGTTATCATTGGTTAACTTTGAAACACTAATGAGATTTTTTTTATCCTAGGTACATGCAGCAATTCCTTTAATGTTAATGATTTTTCATGATCAATATTAAAAGATTTAGAACCAATATGAGAAATTTGTAAAGGTGTACCATATTCAACAACCATTTTCTTCTTACCTCCATATTCTTTAGCTTGTGTGATGTTCTCCTTGTTTGAAGTAGTGTGGTGACTTGCTCCTGAGTCGACATACCAAACAGCATCTTCTACAGTGTGTGGATTAGCTATATAGGCAGAGGGCTGTGAACTCTATGTATTGAATCTGTTACTCATTTGCTGGTCATCATATCGGTTAAAACACCACTTAGCAGAGTGGTTGTTCATTCCACATATTTGGCATAGACTTCGTGGTTCATTTGCTCTTCCAGGCCTCTCCCTACCTTTGAACCTTCCTCTATAGCTAGGATTTCTTCCTCCTCTATTACTCCTTCCACTAAAAGAATTCATCCTCTGAGAATTACTTTGAGTCAAATTAACAGAACCAAAGTTGTTTCTGATTTGATTTAGATACTCCATCCGGCTTTCAAATTCATGAAAACTGATGATAACTCATACCATGTTACCTGGTCTCTTCCATTCACTTGAACCACAATCGGTGTATACTCCTCATCAATGCCTGTGAGCACTTAATTGACTAAATCACCATGGTCAATCTTTTTTCCAACCACTTCCAAGTCATCGGCCAACAGTTTGATTGTGTTTAAGAATTGATCCATGGACATGGATCCTTTCCTCGTTCTTTGTAACTCAGCAGTTAAGAAGGTTACCCTCTACTTGTTGAGAATACCAAATTTTTTGTTGATTACTTTCCACAGTTTACTGGAAGTTTCATAGCCCATCACTCTCATGATTATCTCTGATGACATCGAAGAGTATAGCCATCCCATTAGTAGTTGATCCACATAAATCCACCTGCTATATTCAGGATTTGGCACCCTTTCCACTGAAATACCAGTCTCAGTGTTTGTTTGAGTGCTGATGGTCTTAGCTAGGCATTCTTTTATACCCAACAAGTAGCCTTCCAGATTGTGATCTCTCACGATCGGCATTATGATGTTTTTCCAGAGGAGAAAGTTGTTTTTATCTAACTTGACTAAGGGGACTTGAGTTAGATTCATTCCAAAAGGGGTATTGTTGTTCAGAAGGGCAGAATTTTGGGGGGTGGAGCTAGAATCCGAGCTAGGATTAGAGTTGATGGTGGTCATTTTCTGAAGCTCTGATACCAAGTAAAAAATGACACATAAAATATATATTTTGAGGAAACTCTAATAATGCTGCTTGTATATAAAAAGAATGAGTTAATGGTTACATTCATTTACAATCCGATCGTCTGCTATTTTAAATACATAATGACCTATACATACATAAGTATGTACATGTAACAAACTAAGCTCAGAATGTATTCCTCTCTCTTATGGTTTATATAGCTCAGTGATCCTTCAATCTTCACGGTGGAAACTTTGCCAACTTGGATGGAATTAGTTGAGGCTGTTACAGAGAAGAATGGTCTAGAACCTCAGCCCATGTGCAAGGTATATTTTCTTCATCTTCAGTCCCTGTTTTAGTATCTTTCAAATATTGGCCCCTGATGTTTTCTTCTTTAACAAGCGCAATAGATACAACTAAATTCAAACTCGCTTGCTTGAGAGAAATGTAAAAGTCGGTGGTTTCTACACACACACACACAAAAAAAGCTTATTGAATTGACCAATCATAATATCTACTTATTTTACGAGGTATGTATAGGCTAGAATTGATGACATGGTTAGTAAACTTGTTATCTTGATCAAGGATATGTGTGGTTCTGCTAAAATAGTTGATAAAGAATTAAGTTTAAATTAACAATTAATTTAACACACATTACATAAGACCCACGATTTTTATTAACTTCCAGTCACATACTTCGTCAACTTTTATCAAAATCAACTAAAAATCTCATTTTTAGCAAAAATTAAACAAGGGCTAAATGTAGTTATTCTTCAAGACCATATTATTTTTTGTAACTAGCTAGATTTTGAATTAATTGTTCTATAAATTTAGGTGGCTTTCGATTATACGTGAGCTGTATAGATTTATCTAAATCTTGCCTTTATTTTATTTTCTTTTCTTTTAAATTATGGATTTTTTTGAGAACTACCACGAGGTTGAATTATTCATTTTATATTCGAAAAATAAAATTAAAAAAAATAATTCGTCACTTTTAGCTGAAATCAAAGCAAAATCTTCCTAAATCTATTTAATTTCATTTTTGATATTAATAAAACATGTAGATCATAACTATGTAGTATGCAATAATCTCTTCTGTCGGTATACCCGTTATTTTCAAGGCAGGCTGGCAAACTAATTTCCAAGTTGCTATTATATAATTATTTAACTCTTTAAAGAATATCATCATGCATGCATGTGTCATGTGTCCCAAAACAACAAAAGTAAGCACTATTGAACACAAATGTATAATATTAGCCCATGTTTGATGTTCGGAGAAGAAAATGATATTTTGAATAGTGATTGTTTGGAAAATGTATAGTTAAATGTAAGAAAAAATTTTGAATTTACGTATAAAATATTTTATTATGTGAATGTGTGATTGAAAATGGGTATAAGAAACAAGAACCTATGGTAGGTAGGAATTATCTTGTCCACCGTTGAACGTTACATCAATGGTGGGCATGTTTTATCCTACCAACCATGAGTAGATGATCATTTATATGAAAAATAAAGAGTTTTGAAATAAAGATATACATGCTGCAAGTTGATGTCAATTTGAGAAAGAAAAAGAAGTTAAAATATTCGAGTAGTAGTCATGTACTCTTGCGCGATATATATACACACACTGCTAATCAGTTTCTGAAGAAGCGAGAAAGAGAGCTAGAAAGGATAAGATTGTTGAAGGTAGACATTAATGGCTTTCTACTATATCATAGGTGCAGTAGTTATCATCTTCTTTTTGAAGCTTTTTGTTCTTAAACAACAAAGAAATAACCAGCCTCCAAGCCCACCTTCACTTACTCTGATAGGCCACCTTCATTTGGTAAAAGAACCAATGAATAAAACCCTACGAGCTCTCTCTGCCAAGTATGGTGATGTATTGCTTCTTAAACTTGGAGTTCGTAAAATTCTCCTCATAACTTCACCTTCAGCTGTCGATGAATGCTTCACGAAAAACGACATCATTTTCGCGAACCGCCCATCCACGCTCTCTACAAAACATTTCAGTTACAACAATACAACAATCAGCATAGCCCCCTATGGAGACCATTGGTGCAACCTACGTCGCCTGGCGGCCTTAGAAATCTTTTCCTCCACGCGTATTGCCATGTATACCGGCACGCGCAGAAGGGAACTTATGCTGATTTTGAAGGAACTCTTGCGCAGTTGTAAGCATGACGGAGGATCAACAAAAGTGGATTTGAAGTCAAAGTTCATTGAGCTTGCTTTCAATGTGCTTTCAATGACTATAGCTGGGAAAAGATACTATGGAGAAAATGTAGTCGATTCTGAGGAGGCGAGGAGGGTTAGATTTGTAATGAGGGAAATGCTGGAATACAGTGGGAATACAAATTTGGGTGACTTTTTGCCATTTTTACAGTGGGTGGATTTCCGCGGATTGGAAAAAAGGTTTGCAAATTTGATGAAAAAGCTTGATAAATTCGTGCAGGATTTGGTAAATGAACGACGCGGATTACTAAGTGAGAAATTATGTGAAAGCCATGGCCAGTCTGAGAAGACAATGATAAATCACTTGTTATCACTGCAACAGAAGGAACCAGATTATTACACAGATGAACTCATCAAAGGAATTATTCTGGTAACTATTTCGAACTTGTGTAGATTTTTAGTTTTACAGTTGGGCTTGAAAGATTTAACCTAGGGGCGCTACTATTTTACGAAGAATTGATTTTGTACCTTTGAAATGGGGCCCACCTTTGCCAGGTAGACGCCTAAAAATTTTGACCATTCAAAAGTGATTTAATTTTGTCCATTGTCTTTTCTGTCCTTCATTTCTGTGCAAGTATAAAATCATGGATGGACAATCATATTATTTTACACGTCCACATTATTTGACATTTCAAATGATCGTTGTTATAAATCAATAATGATAGCGATAGAGGGATCACTTAATTTCCAATTGTTGAGATATTGCTTAAAATGTGGTGAGAATCCCACCCAAACAGGCGCTTAATAAGGATAGTAGTCTTGTACCATTGTGGATGTGTCAAGATGAGTTAGGTTCAAATGGACCTAGTCCAGTTTTCAAATTTTTTAGCACTGGTTCGACTTTTTGACCATTAACTATTTACCTTTTGCGAGTCAACATTCGCACAAGTTTTCAAAACATTGGAATTTACATTTACCTGTTTGATGTCTAACTTTGTGCCTGTGTTTATATGCGGATGGTTAGGTGCTATTGGTAGCAGGGACAGACACAATGTCAATAAGCATGGAATGGGCAATGTCACTACTCCTAAATCATCCTGAATCCATCAACAAAATCAAAGCTGAAATAGATGCTAACGTACCAGAGGATCGTTTACTCGATGAACAGGACCTGCCAAAAATGAAATACCTACCAAATGTCATCACTGAAACTCTACGTTTATATCCACCAGTTCCATTTCTGATCCCTCATCAAGCTTCTGAAAACTGTACTGTTGGTGGTTATGACATATCAAAGGGCACAATGCTGCTAGTCAATTTATGGGCCATTCACAGGGATCCAAGATTGTGGGAGAAGCCGACTGAGTTTATCCCGGAGAGGCACGAATTTAAGAAAGAAGAAGGGTATATGCTTCCGTTTGGAGCAGGAAGGCGTAAATGCCCTGGCGGAGGTATTACAAATCGGGTGCTTGAATTGACACTGGGGATACTGATTCAGGCGTTTGAATGGGAGAGAGTGAGTGTAGAAATGGTGGACATGACTGAAGGCACTGGTTTCAGTATATCTAAAGTTAAGGCCTTGGAGGCTATATGCAAACCAAGGGATGCCACTATCAAGCATTCTTTAGTTATTTCTTGAATTTGGTTGAGTAATATCAGAAATTTTCAATTCTCCATTTTAACTAAGAGAATCAGATTCTCGAGCTTGTTTTTAAGCCAAGAATTTCTAACTGTATGTCTACAAGAATTATGTGCTGGTGTTAATCTCACCTGAATTCTTGAATTACTGGCATTGGTTAGGCTATATTGTTGGACCGGATCCTGGCCCATCTTGTGTGCTCTCAATTTCTGGATGGAAGTCGTGTTTACAATACACGCC